TATAAGTTTTTATTAAAAAAATTAAACTTTTTAATAAAAACATAGGCAAATTTGCCTGTGTTACAATTTAAGGGATAATATATGCAATTTTCTGAAATATTTATATAATATTTCTTTAAATTTTTTTAGATGTAAGTAAAAGGCACGTACAATAATTATTAGCAATTTTGATATATTTTGACCAGGTCTAAGTTGGGATTGTATTTCATTCCAACTTGGATTTGTTGTTATTGTTATAAAGAAATTTGGTTTTTTTTGTATCTTGCTAGAGCAAGAGCATTTGCTACATAAGTTGAACACCATTTTTTTGAATCTAAAAAAGAGGTGAGAAGATGCAGGTCATCTTCTTCATTATTATCTTCAAAATATTCTTTCATATTTATTTGTCTTTAAGACTTTTTTTCTTCATAAAGATATTTTTTCTCATTTAGAATATAATTTAGCCGCTCTTCTTCAACACAAGAATACATATCTACTAAGTATTCTAAGATTAACCTTCCTAGTATTGAAAATCTGTATTTATATAATAAATAGCAACAATACTAATTGATTTTTGAGAAATTATGATTATTGTTGTGAAACCACCAGGTGTTCTATGCAGAAATAAAAGTGGATATTAGAGAGATTCATATTGTGAACTAAGAATACTAATAAATTTAGATGCATTATTTGTATATTGCCATATAATAATGCTTCATGGTTGAATATTAACAATATTATTTGTATGCACTACTACAACTTTGCCAGTTGAGGTATTTTTACATAACTCAAGAAATGCAGTATTTAAAGAATTATTTTTGAGTGTTCTTAGTGAATATATATATGGATTAATCTGAGTTAATGTATTTCATATAGATGATATTCACTTATTTGGAATTCCAAGATTTTGAGCTAAGAGATATTTTTCACTTTCATCATATAAATACCAATGTATTAAATAATTTGGTATATTTGCTGGCAAAATGCAATAATAGATTCATCCTGTGATACATACTGAGGATAGTAATAGAAGTTTTATAAACTAATCTTCTATGCCGATAGTGGTAAATGAAAATAGTGTGTTTAGCCTTCATGAAAGTGTGCTGATATTTGGTTCATTTAAAATTTTATTGATTTCTATAGGATATATAGATAACAGCAGAAGAATTCATCTTCTATTATTACAACAAAACTTGAATAATTCACTAATAAGAAGTATTACTAAACAGTAGTTGTATGCTTGATTCCAAGATAATTTTAGCAGTGTTAAGAAACTTTCATCTAGTAAATGCAATGTATTCCACCAGAATAAGTTATTTGTATTATATCTTTTAGGGTTTGTTTTATTTTGTTTTTGTTTAGTATTGCTTTTTACTTCTCTATTAGCATACATTTTTGCATATTGATATTTGTATTTGGTATTTCGTTGTTTTTGTTTGGTGTGAGCTTTTTTTTTGTTTTCTTTTGTTAGTATTTTTCTTATTTTTTTTATATTAATTGTATTTTTTTTTTTCAGTTAGTAATAGATTTAAAACTAATTCAAAATTTTTTTCTCTTATTTTTATATATATATTTCATATACATTACATATATATTTATTTATTTATATTTATTTATGAATTTTAATTTAGTCTTGATTTATTTTATAATTAGTAAGTTAAATATTCTGAATAGTATTATTTTACTATTTATTTTTTATTAATTCCATTATATTCGAATACATTTTTATCGTTATATGAAATGAAAATTGAATAAATCAATCTAAAGTTATTAACAAATAAATGACAGATAATAAACACCATTATTATATTATAATTAAAAACTATTATCATAATTACTTCAGATTTTTATAAAATTTTAAGTTCGAATTAATTCTATTATAATTACGAAATTTAAAAGTTTAAACTATGTTCTGAGTTTTGTTATTATTTTTTAATTTTGTAATTTGTACACATATTTCTCTAACTTACCTGTTTGAATTATTTGTATGTTATTTATTATTATAGTTTGTATATTTACAGATATGGTAATATTAAATTTTCATAACGTGTGATTTTTTTACATAACATCATATATATGTATGTACCATTTGCATAATAATAATTTTATATTGGTTGTTACTATATTTATATTCATCTAACATTTTTTTAAACATTTTATTATATATGATCTTTAAATTACTGCTTATAATAATGTTATTTATTTATTGTATGTTACTATTATAGTGTATAACTAAATTCCATATTTATTATTTTTATGTATATTGTTAGTTGACATATATTTATGTTAATAAATGTTAGAAATTTTAGCATATGTATAGTGCATGTTCTAACTTTAATGAATTTTAGTTATCTTGTGTTTGTTAGAAATTTTTATATATATACGGCACATGTTCTAACTTTAATGAATTTTAGTTATTAGAAAATTCAGATACACTAATGAAATTTTCAATGCATAACTATTATAATCTTCCAAAAGCAAAGCTTATTTTGTTTTTATGTCTGTAGTTAGTTCAAATGTTTTCATATCTGCAATTATTCTAAATAACTATTTTCTATCATGTTTTTATTAGAAAATCCAGGTAAATTAATATAATTTTCAATGCATAACCATTATAATCTCCTAAAAGCAAAGCTTATTTTTTTTATATTTGTATAGTTCATTTACATATCTTCATATCTGCTATTATTCTAAGTAATTATTTATTTATCGTATTTATGTTTTCACATGTACTAATGTTTCTACTGCTCTGATTACTATATTAATAATTTGATTGAACATCTATCTATTGTAATTATTAATTATTTATTGCTTATAATTCAATTTGTAACGATGTTTTTTAAAGTTATTTTATTTTTTATTTTATATTTTATTTTATTATTTATTTTATTTTATTTTTATTTTTTTTTATTTATTATTTTTTTTCTTTTCTGTCACATAATCAAAATGATTAGTAAAAATGTATAGGACACTCATAATCTGTGATAATTTTATAATAATTGGATTAAAAAATATTTAAATACTTGTATTTGCTTATGTTTTAAAATTTATTTTAATTATTATTATCTAATGGAAGGTTTAAAAAAGTTTGCAAGCAAATTATATTTCTGTGATAAACTAAAACAGATTTCTACCAAATATCAATTGCAAGATTTTTGTATTATCTGCAATAAAGAAATTTTGTCTGATCTATATAAACTTATTATTATATAGATATGCAAATATCTTTTTCATTGGTTATGCATGCTTAGTAAAGACAGATGTTTCTGTGAAAATGAGAAAGAAATTGACAAGAAAGCTGAAGAAATTAGTGTAGATAAAAATGCAGAGTTCGCTGCAAAAGTGTTAATAAAGTTATTACAAAATGCTACAAATAATTATATTATTCTTTAAAAAAATAATTCTTAATATTATAAATAGCATAAACCAACAAATATTATTATAATTTAATTCAAAAAATCTTTAAATTTTTATGATTTATAGGCTCTTTAGAATTAGAAGAATCCAATAAAGAAATTCACAAATTAGCTCCAAAAAGAAAAATAGCAAAATGCCAAAAATAAAAAAATTTTATTTAATTAATTATACTTTATATAGTTAAAATTATAAAAGATACTAAATATATTTTATTATAATCAAATATTAATTCAAGAAATTTTAAAGCAACAAAAGACTGATTATTCAAAAACAACAATACAAACATGTCCAAGAAGTATATGATAAAAGACTTACTAATAGTGAAAATACAATTTTGGCATCTCTACCAAATTCTCTCCTTTCAGAACTATCTCACTTATTTAAATCTGTGGAACAATTTCAAGAAGAGATTAATTTAGTCTCTTTGAAATCTAAATCACAAGAGATAAATATTTACAGTACTGCTCATTTTACCAACAATCATTTTATCAAAAGTTTACTTAGCCAATATCACATAGAGTTAGAATTAGCATTTTATTACCGTAATGGCATAATAATGCGCAGGTGCGCATTATTTCGAAGCCCTGTGTGTTATTTCAAGACACGCATATGCGATATTTCAAATTATTTTGACAAATTTGGGGGTCAGCCAATTCTGTATATAATCTACTTATATAAGAGACACATTATTTTGGAACGCACATGTGCGTTATTTCGAGTCAAAAATGCAATTTTCAAAAAAAGGCGTATTTCGAAATAATGCACATGTGTGTTATTATGTGCCATTATGGTAGTTGCAAATATATATTATTAGTAAATTGTTACTTGGCATAATTTCAGCTAAGTGAGTTGATAGTGAAATTATTGTTGGATTCAAAAAAATAGATTTATTAATATTAATAAAATTTTTTTTTAGAGTCAAGGATTGTTAAAACAGTTGTCTAAATATCGCATAGTTGCTAAAAAGTTGAATAAAGATTCTAATAATATGTGTGCATCTTTAAATTTTGATAATATGAGTACTGAAAACTCTATAGCAGAAAAGTTGGCTCAATTATTCAAAATAGCTTATAGTAGTGAAATGGAATTTTAATGAATTAAGTAGGAAGAAATTCAAAATTGGTTTAATTATGCTGAAGTATTTGAAAACAGAGTAAGTGAACTCATCACAGATAGTTTCAATAAGCATAAAGCATGAACTAAAATATATGATGAAATAATATCATTAATTTTGGGTATCACCTATATAAACTTGCAACAGAGAATACATAAAGCACAAGTCATTTAGTAATATTGAAGTAAATAAAATTCAAAATGTTAAGTATAGCACAGATGCTATATTATGATAATATTAATATAATTATAGATTATGTAAAATATAGTAATAATTAGGTTTATCTTTCTTATTTATTAAATTTATAATTGCTTTGTATTTGCTACAAACTGCTATTGAAAAAATTTTGCTACTATATTAATGTATTTTATTATTTATCTACTGCTATTAAATTTTATATAATCAATTAGTATAGATATCAAATTATCGCATACTCCAATGTCACACATTCCAAGAATGGTTTTAAAACACAATGGATTAATCAATAAACAAATTAGGGTTTATAGTAAGAAAATAGCAATCAAGTGTAATATCAAAACTTTTTTGAGTAATGATAAAATTTATTATGATTTATATTTTGTGAAAAAAATAGATTTTATCTATAAGTTAATATTTGTATCTTACTTGATTTTTACTATCTGTTTTTTTACTTTTAGACAAAATTTTTGAAGTATCTTATTTTGAAAATAACATTTTAAAATTGCTAATTTATTAATAATACATTTGAAATTAATTTTAATTTGCTAATATTTGTGAATTTTAAAATTTAATAAAGTATTTTTTTGGCTAATAAATTTATATATGCCTATTAAATTTAATAATTTTTATAATATAACATCTTTAGTAGAACTTGCTAACCACCACTTTGACAACAATTTATATCTAGCCAGCAATAAACTAATTATGATCATTAAGAATCTTAATGAATCACAATTAAGCAATTGCTAAATTATGATAAAATTATGATCATTAAGAATCTTAACAATTAATTTAGTAATTGCTAAATTAATTGTTAAGATTCTTAATGATTATAATTAGGGGTCTGCAAACCAGGCTCGTGCTCATGCCCAACAAAAGGCACAGGCATGGACATGGGCATGAGATTCAGGCATAGGCATGGGCATGGGCATAAGAATTTGCCATGGGCATGGGCATGGGCATAAGAATTTGGCATGGGCATGGGTATGGGCACAAAAATTTGGCACGGGCATGGGTATGGGCACAAAAATTTGGAACGGGCATGGACATGGGC